AGGTATGTGTCATCTAATTAAGATCTCTTGACCCACCTCTTTTTGAGTGAATATGGGTTTCTTTTATTACTTTTCATTAAAAAATTTTACTTTATTTTTTCTTCCTGTCAGCAGAAATTTTTGCATTACACATGAATGAGATAAAAAATACTTTAAATAACCAAATATGCAAATTTTATTCTATCCACCAATCCTCCATCAAACGCACTGCTAATGACTTCAATAACGTTCTAGAAACACCTTGATATACCAAGTAAAAGATAATAGAATTTTCAGCCAAAAGGCTGACTCATGCAGAACTGAAAACAGATTTTCATTCTAAGAACATGCCAAAGGAAAATCCAACTCTCAAATGGCAAACAACAACAGAGCCCAACCATTCTCAATAACAAGTTAATGATTCACTTCACCAACTTCAACCATTCTCAATAGCATTGAAAGAAATGCTAAAAGCAAAAGGACAAACACAAAGATGGAAAACAATTAGTCATGGCTCATGACAGGTAGAGATCAGAAAAGGCATGAGCTTGTGTTGCTTTTTGGATCATTTGAAATGTAACTTGCTTATAGATTCAAAAAAGAACTCACCCCATCATTACCAATTGCCCTCTTTGAAATTTTAAATTTTTCACTCTTGGAAGAATAAGGCATTGGAATAAGAGAGAAGCTTGAAGACTTCTATTAAAGATTATTCTGAACCTAGCAGGAAGAGCCAAAGGCAGCGTTGTTTGCTAGGTGCAAGAGTTTGAGGTAAAGAGGAGCCAAATGGGTGAATTTATAGGAAGGGAGGACGGTGTGTGTTTGTGTGCTTGGCGGAGATGTTGATAGGGGATGCATGAGAGAAATGAGCTATATGGAGTGCAGTTGGCTTTCTTTCTTCTTCCTTAGATGGAAACTTCTCTCCCTTTTTTTTTTGCCTATCTTCTTTTGTTCGTTGTAGGCAAAAGAAGGCTCCATAGTTCATTTCAATTTGATTAAACTTCAGTGAAGTATAAGTTGATTTAAGGAAAACCCTGTTTTAGTTAGAAATCATATTGTTTATTTACAAGAAAAATGCTTAAAATGGGAGGGAGATCATTGAAACTTAGGATTTGGAATAGGATCGTGGAAAGAGAAGGTTAGTTTTTTGATATCCATTTAGGGTTGTTGTTTTTCATTAACAAAGATTCATTAGTAGATTTTCATTTACAAGAATTTGTTAACCGTTGAGTAGTTTTCCATTATGAAAAGTTTAGCCGACTAGTTAATCTTTAGAGTGAGTTTGTTAGTAGTTTTTCGTTAAGAAAAGTTCGTTAAGTACATTTCTTTAGAAGAGTCCCTCAAGTAGTTCCTCAAATAGTTCATTCTCAAGATGAGTTTGTTGAATAGTTCCTTGGCTAGAGAAAATTGATTTAATAACCATGATAGGTTATACAATAGGGATGGTGCTTCCCTTCTCAAATCCTCTCCACCCACCCAAAGATTCGAATTTGAAACCTCCAATGTGGTTCCTACGAGACATACTACCTATCATAATCTATAAGTACATTGCATATCACCCACCACTATGTTTAAGCAAGAGCTGACTAGGTTACCTTTTATGCAATATTCTCTGTAGCCAACAGGGAATTTCTCCCATATTAGTAGAGTTTCTAAATATGAGAGCAAAATAAGGCATAGCATTGAATTTGCTAGGAATTGGAGATTATTTTCCATTCCAGGTTAAACTTTTATGGCTAGTCAATAAAACAATCCAAACAGTTAATTTCTTGTCATTACAAAAGTTAGGTAATTAGAGATTTTCTTGCCAAATAAAGTGTGTCTTGCCATAAAAAGAGAAAACTTACTAGATTTTAATTACCATTTATGAAATTTCAATGATTTGGTTTTCCATCACCATTCTTATCTCATTCATTTGAATTCATTGCCAAGAAAATTCTCCCAAGTATAAGCAGTCTATTACTACATACATAATCTATCTTCTTCACAACCTCCCTTTTTTCTTTTTTCTTTTTTTTTTTTTCACATGAGATTTCAATCTAATAAATATACATGAAAAATTATTTGAGGGCCGAAAGTTGGAGGCCAAATTGTAGGCATAAATTACTTGGGAATTTATCATGTGGGGCCCACCACATGATCAATGGCCAAAAAATTTTAAGCATCCAACTTTCAACCCCCAAATCAGTTCTCAATAATCAATATACATAACATAATACAAAATGAGAGGTAAAATTCTCTTTTTCTTAATCCACTCAATCCAAATTTCAGTGTTTAATCTCTTATCCTATCAGTTACAATTCTTGAAACCAATAAATTTCCCTTTTTCGTTCTCAGGCAAACCATCCTACTTTATCTCTTATTCTCTTGTTCTTTTTTTTTTTTTCTGTTTTTTTGTGGACATCATCCCACTTTGTTTTACTTTTCTCTTCTTTTAATTGAGTTAACATAGAAAAATTACATTTAAATCTTTTAAAAGGAGTAAAAGACATCAATAATAGAACAAACAATCGTTTCGAAAATCAAACAACAATTAAAGCTACAAGAATCTGTTTCTTGATTTAAACTTTTTTCCCTTGTTCTTAAGAATTAAATTAACAGCCTAATGATCAGCAACAGTATGCTTTATTATCTTATTTCTACAACTTTTCCACCTTAACAATGCCATGCCTCATTGTTCACGTGACACTAAAAATGTTATATGGTAAATAAGGCATGTGGAACCTAGATGATGCTATGGCAGCC